TCAATTTACCAAGGAATTTCTTTGAGGGACAAAGATCGAATTTACGGGTGAGTGAAGATTGAATGGAAGATTTACCTGGATGAAATATTAGGTTGGTGAATTGAAAACCGCGGGACTCTGAACTAAAATTTATCCAACATAAAACCATGAATTCATTCCAAATAATTTCCATTATTATTGACGACTTCTGCCCATTTTACGGGCAATTTGCGGATTCCTCTTTCGTAGTAGGATTTTGGTTTGTGTGTGAGACAAGTGTGAGACTCAAAAATGGAGGACTGGAGGTGTCCCAGTTTGAGCACTTTCTTCAAAAGAAACCCATTTTGGTGTCAACAGAAAAGTTGTAGAGAATCAAAAATTAGGCTTATAGTCAAGTTTCCAAAAAGATATACTTAGTAGTTTCGCTTAAAATGCAAGTTTTGTGAAAATTCGTAAATTTGGCATTTCTTTAAAACCAGTCTTTGAATCGTTCTGAAAATTTGGATATAAGCTTTGAATTTGAATATAATATATTAATTTTTGATTGTCTACAACTTTTCCATTGACACCAAAATGGGTTTCTTTTGAAGAAAGTGCTCAAACTGTCACATATGACAATACCCGGCAGTTTTCAATTCACCAACCCAATACCATGATTGAATACTACTATTAGTTTTAAAAGCTAGAAAAGAGAAAGCTTGATATAAATCTTTACAGTGGCCCCTCATCATGCAACAAAAATCTAACAAAAGACGTTCTCCCAACGTTTGTTTTTGGCGAGTTTACCACTTTCACCCAAGAGCCAGGAGATTCTTTCAATGTTATGGTTCAGTGCGCAAAACAAGGTTTGTTCAGTTTATTTACAAATGATAAGCTTTATAGATCTATCTGGAGTGAAATATACGATGAACTCGACTAAACAGACTGGACTCATCACAACACCGAGATTCATTAATGGCAAAAGCACGAAATACTCCTTTTCATTTATAACCGTAAGCTACCGTAAATACTGTAATAGTACCCCACCGCCATAATGACGGTGCGGAGTGTTGCGTAGTCTAGCTTGGATGCGTGGACGCGTCTTTCTCGGTTGATGCTACAATGCTACAATGCGCGCTTAGGTATCTGTACCAGGGGGGTGAGGTACTATTACAGTATTTTTACACTATTACAGTAAGTTAAAAGTACAGGGAACGTCATAATTATGGGCTCAGATCAATCAGTCGGCATTAATCAAAAATCAAATCAAAAGACACTTAGATAACAAAAACTCAAATTTCAAAAATTCCTCCGTCAGCGGCGACGTATGCTTCAAGACGTGGGCGGAAGGCGACAACTGTGGCACGAAAGTAGGCAACATCAAGCTGGTCCGATGCTTTAAGGAGCGCTTTCTTTAACGTGTCAACTATCCGACGTCTTAGCTTCTAAGATTGACAAGACTGAAGAATTAAGAAATTTAAGCTCCGGCGAGCTTGGAGGCCACTCATTGAATGAGATGAAATCGGGTAGGTTCTGCTCACACCAATCCTGGACCATTCGAGACTTGTGAGCCGGCTCTATCTTGCTGAGATACCCACCTACGTTGTTTAAAATGAGATTGAGCTCCGGGAAAAGCGTCTTGCCGCAAAATGCTTGACTGTTGACCTTGACTCCTGATAGCACGAAGACAAGTGGAGTCTTTCCATCGGGTGATCCCTGCCCACACCATGAAAGAAGCTAGATGAAGAACGCGCGATATTGATTTTTGTAGGTTGGAAATTGCATAAATTTGGTCATTCTGCTTGTTTAGCACTGGTTCAACGCACTGGCACTGGTTTAATTTTTGATCTGAGAATAATTGACGCAAGGAAGATTCAGAAATTTCCATTTTGCATGACATGAGCCGACTGATCGTTCCGGCTTACGAAACTCTCTCGCACTTTTTTGATGTTGGACACTACAGAACGCCATTTCCCTCGACCAGCTCTATCAGCATTTGTTCTCAATTCCTTGAAGCGTTTAATTGTTTTGTTCATGAGCCGCGTAGAAACTCCCAAATTTTAGAAATTGCACGTGTCAAAAGCCCCGTCGATGCAACGCTATGATCGAGTTCCGATAAACACTGACCATCCCTAAAAAACACTTTATAATCTTTGTAATCTTAACATTATCAAATAACAAGAGTAAAGATGAAAAAAGTAAAAGATATAAAATAACAACATATAAGTGGCACTAAATGGTCACAAATAAAGCTGACACCGCGAGGTCACAGAATAAAGCTGACACCATAATTATGACGTATCCCGTAGAGGAATGGATTTCTGAAAATGCTTCTAGGATGGATTCTCAAAGAATTCTCTTGAACTATCCTTCTTGAATTCGATTCCAAAAACCTCAAAACTGTCTATATCGTATTTTGTCAATGACGTTGCACAGAATCAGAGATGAGCCATAGGATTGATCAAGTATCAAGACCAGTATCAAGGCCAGTATCATGATCTTCATTCAGTTTCACAAGCGATAACTCGTCGTGCTACTTTTATTCGAATGGCCCCAATGTGACACTGTACTATGAATGGGAACAATGTGGATCACTCGATTATGTCAATTACACGAATTGTGATCCCTTGTTTTTGTTGAAGTTTGTTTAGTAAAAATCAAAGTTACGATCGCTTTGACTTTGACAAATTTGCGATTGCTTTGCCTTAAAAGAGCAGCTAATCCAGGTATCTTTGCGTTCTCATCATAGATTATCTAGATTTTTACAAACGGGATCTGTAGCGCCTTCAACGACGACTTCAACAGCGACAACTAGTGAGTAAAGGCTCACTTCATAGATTAGTAGGCAAAATTCTCTGACTAAAAAAGTTATAATTAACCAAAACTGTTCAATTGCAAGCGTTAATGATGCTGTGTTAACAGTTGACTTGCACCGGTTCTAATTCCTTAATTATTCTAGCTAAATTCTAGCTAAAACGTCAATTCAAACTAAAACTACATCGTCAACGTCAACTACATCGAAGATCACATCTTTGCGAACCGATAGACCAAAACATACAACATCGATGCGCAAAACCACTACAACCACATCAACCATTAGAACAACTTCTCAAGCTACCCATCATGAGATTACGACAAAGAACCATTCTCGTCAAGAACTTAACATTTATTATCTTTGCATTGTGATTGCGTTATTTTCACGTTTGGCATAAAGCATTATCATAACAAGAAAGCCAATATTACATTTTGTTTCCTTAATTTTCCCAATAATTTTGATTCCTATGGGTTATACTCAATTATTTGTAGCCAAAGTATGGGAAAAATGCTCAAGCTCGGCACAAATTAGAAATTTTGCTTGGAGATACAACAAACAAACCCCGCTAATCGCTTTCCAGACCCAGAAAATCCCAGGGCATAAACTTTTAACTTCAAATCTCAACTGAGCAATGTTTACTAAACCAAAGAGTTCCGTTGTAAACGTGTTCTTTGTTCGGCCGCGTAATCGCTCATTGTCTGGCACAAACAGGCTTGAAACGTTTAAAGCCGCCTTTTTGCCAACAAACTGAACTTATTGATTGGTAAAATTGATGAAATAGAGATCATTCTCAATTTCAGTGCATTTTGAGAAAAAGATAAGACTGTAATAAAGCAAATATAGTACCACCCTTCTATGTCTGCCCCATATGGTCACCGCTTCCCAAACTAACTTCGGCTGTAGAATTGGCAAACCCAAGTCCGGCTCATTTTGACCACTATGGCAGGTTCTCTGTCGGTTGAAATGGGATCCCAAGTGCCTGTAAAAGGGTGCTGAAGGGAGCCGCTGTGAATTTTGGATTCATCCCAAGGATTTCGGTCCGTAGGGGCAGCAAGCAACTCAGGAAACAGAACGAGTAAACGGGCTCAAGGATTGGAAAATACCAGAGATGATGTTGGCCTAAATTCGAAGGCCAAAAATGGCCGTTTGTGGCCTGAAATGACCTAAATGGCCTTTTTCGAAAAACAGAAGCTCTAGAAGACGAATAAACAAAAAGCGTTCTTTTATGTTAGTTTCATGTAACTTTAATTGGCGGCATTTTCTTTCAAAAATTCAAAAACAATAAATCAAAACTCCGGGGGGATGTTCTCAATTATGAAATTTGAAGTGGTTAACGAATTTCAATGAACTTTAAAATTGCGCCGAGTGTCGACTAATCTTCTTTGATTGTTTGACTATAGACTTTTTTCATTCTCTATTAGAAAACAGATTGTATTCTTAAATATTCAATTTTGAAAAATGAATAGGTAAGAAATGCACTAGTACTCGATATGAATGCATCTGAAATGGCTAATATGTAAATTTCTTCACCATAGCAGCTAGAATGTGTTCCTTTAAAAAAGAAAGGGTCAAGACTTAGTTTACAACTTAATACAAAGACTAACTCAGCCGTTGACAGAGACCTGGGCCACGACACAGACCACCGAACGAGCCCTGAGAACGACGCATCGAGCCCTTGAAAGGAACCTCCTCGGGCACAATAAGAAGACGCAGCTCGACCAAGACCTAAGAAGTACGGATATGCGCCAGCTCACGGGACTCAAAGATCCAGCGGATGTGATCGAGAGAAGAAGACTCAGATGGGCCGGCCACGTGGCCAAAAGAACAGGCGACAGATGAACGATACGGATCACAGAGTGGCTACCACGAGACCAGAAGAGGCTCATCGGAAGACCAGCAACGAGGTGGAGCACAAGAGTGGCAGTGATGGTCAGAGAAAGGATGGCTAGAGTGCAACCACCACCAGCACAAGCAAGTCGAAGACTCCGAACCAGGAAAAACCAAGATAGGAAACACTGGATGACAATAGCAAGGAATAGAGAAATGTGGAAGCAGGTTGTGATCTGCGCAAATAGGAACAGCTAAGTGCGAAGACAGATCAAAAAAAATAATAGATAAGCAACCATTATCTTGATTATCCATGAACGTACCGCAATATTCCGATCGATGAGCACGTTTCCCGCAAAATCGTCATCTTCTTCGCCGAATAGGTTGAACATCGTTTTCAACTAAATATAATAAAATGTATGTAAATTATATCTAGATATGTTTTGCCGTACGCTTCAAAGTTCAGAAATAATTTGTTGTTTGAAGAAAAAGGTTTCAGTTTAAAGAAGATTTGGCGGTGAAATGAAGCTTTCGCTCCATTCAGACTATCGGTTTAAAAGTAAATATAACCCGGTAAACCCTGTTTACAGACCTACAGACCTTTTATAAATATCAGTTTTATACAATGTACAAGTTTTTTGCAAAATTGAAGCTTTTTCAAAGACTTAAAAGCTCTGGAACTTTTCCATAAGTCCCTTCCCTTTTTCGTCCAGCTCTTGGCCAGCACTTGAATTGAGAACATCCCCCCGGAGTTTTGATTTATTGTTTTTGAATTTTTGAAAGAAGATGCCGCCAATTAAAGTTATATGAAACTAACATAAAAGAACTCTTTTTGTTTGTTCCTCTTCTAGAGCTCCTGTTTTTCGAAAAAGGCCATTTAGGCCATTTCAGGCCACAAACAGCGATTTTTGGCCAACATCATCTCTAGTATTTTCCAATCCTTGAGCCCGTTTACTCGGTTTGTTTCATGAGTTTCTTGCTGCCCCTACGGACCGAAATCCTTGGGATGAATCCAAAAATTCACACCGGCTCCCCTCAGCACCCTTTTACAGGCACTTGGGATCCCATCTCGACCGACGAAGCACTCGCCATAGTGGTCAAAATGAGCCGGAATTGGGTTTGCCAATTCTACAGCCAAGGTTAGTTCTGGGAAGAACCACATGGGGCAGACAACGGATTGGTTGCCGGATGACCCAAAATGGACCTCCCGATTTGATAGGTGAAAAGGGAACTATATCCGGAAACATAGGATGCTAGAACGAGCGAAATTGTGCTCGCGTACAGAGGACAAGCAGGCGATATTCTTTTGTTGCATTTTAACGTTCAAAAACTTCAAATTTTTGAACAGAAAAATTGTGCCCGGGGTTTTCGGGGTTGGGGAATCGATTGACAGTGCTAGTTTTCATGTTTTTCTTGTACAAAATCAATCTAGAATCAATGATTTCAATACACTTCGCATAGAAGGGTGGTACTATATTTGCTTTATTACAATCTTATCTTTTTCTCAAAATGCCCTCTATTTCATCAATTTTACCAATCTATAAGTTCAGTTTGTTGGCAAAAAGGCGGCTTTAAACATTTCAAGCCTTTTTGTGAGACAATGAGCGATTACGTTCTATCAGTGAAAAAGCTGTCTATTAAGCTGTCCAGAAAGGCTTTTCGTTCCTTTTTGTATTTCCATTTAAAACCAACAAATGTACCAATTGAACTACGGTTTCTTTCACTAGAAAGGCCAATTATTTTTTTGCAAAATCACATTAAAACGGGTTTAGAATGTCCTATGTCTGGATTTTTCTGACTTTATGACTGAAAAGACTTTCTGAACAGCCTAATAATTAATTTATTTGTACCTTCTGCACAAGTCAGGCCAGGAAAAGCAGGGCCAGAAGCCAAAACTTAGAACCAGGCCTAGCTAGGGCAAATGACCTATCCAGAAAGTCTTTACGCTCCTTTTCGTTACTAGAGAAACCAACTACAAATGTTAGGCTGTCCAGAAAGTCTTATTTTGGATTTTCTCAGACCTAGAAAAAGACAAAAAGAAACAAACTTTCAAGTCTTTTGAAAAACTAAAGCTTTAAATTTTTTCAAAGTTTTCGAACTTTTCCAAAAGCTCTTTCCCTTTTTTGTTCTTTCTCTTCATTTCAGCTTTGAACCGTCAATTTACGGGACCTTTTTTGATTGATTTTTAGTGTTTATCAGTGGTAGCCTCAATCGAAAAATGTGCTGATAAATCTTTAGACTAAAAACTGGCTTCTGATGTCAAAGGGCGACCCCTCTCTTCGCCGTGATAACTTCATGATTTCCGCGTTTTGTGTTTTGTGTACTTTCCGGAGACAGCACGTATAAAGCTCTTGATCTCTGGAAAAATAGAACCCAAGATTCAAGAAAATAGTGAAAAATAGAACACTTGAAGATTTGAGTGCTTTTTATTATTAAATTGCACTAGTTGCTGAACAGAACTTTGAAGAAATCGGTATTATTTGGGTTATTGGGTCTTCTTTGAAGTGTTTTGACAATGTTTTTCGTTTTGAATGTTTTCATTTGTCACCAAAAGAAATGTCAAAATTGCAATTATAAATAAAAGTTACTAGAGGTTACTATAAATAAAGTTACTAGAGAAACCAACCACAAATATTAGGCTGTTAAGAAAGTCTTATTTCGGATTTTCTCTGTCCTAGAAAAAGACAAAAAGAAACCTTCTGAAAGAAACAAAAAAAAGTTGAACTTAATAGTCTGTTTATTCGCTTGAAAGATTTCAAGCCTTTTTGTGCCAGACAATGAGCGATTACGCGGCCAAACAAAGAACACGCTTTACAAAGGAACTCTTTGGTTTGGTAAACATTGCTCAGTTGAGATTTGAAGTTAAAAGTTTATGCCCAGGGATTTTCTGGGTCTGGAAAGCGATTAGCGGGGTTTGTTTGTTGTATCTCCAAGCAAGATCTCTAATTTGTGCTGAGCTTGAGCATTTTTCCCGTATTTTGGCTACAAATAATGGAGTATAACCCATATGAACCAAAATTATTGGCAAAATTAAGGGACCAAAATGTAATATTGGCTTTCTTGTTAAGATAATGCTTTATGCCAAACGTGAGAATAACGCAATCACAATGCAAAGATAATAAATGTTAAGTTCTTGACAAGAATGGTTCTTTGTCGTAGTCTCATGATGGGTAGCTTGAGAAGTTGTTCTAGTGGTTGATGTGGTTGTAGTGGAGTGGCTCATCGATGTTGTATGTTTTGGTCTATCGGTTTGCAAAGATGTGATCTTTGATGTAGTTGACGATGTAGTTGACGTTGACGATGTAGTTTTAGTTTGAGTTGACGTTTTAGCTAAAATTTAGCTAGAATAATTGAGGAATTAGAACAGATGCAAGTCAACTGTTAATACGGCATCATAAACGCTTGTAATTGAACAGTTTTGGTTAATTATAACTTTTTTAGTCAGAGAACTTTGCCTACTAATCTATGAAGTGAGCCTTTACTCACTAGTTGTCGCTGTTGTCGCTGTTGTTGCTTTTGTCTCTGTTGAAGTCGTTGTTAAAGGCGTTACAGATCCCGTTTGTACAAATCTAGATAATCTATCATGAGAACATAAATATACCTGGATTAGCTGCTCTTTTAAGTCAAAGCAAGGTGTCTTAAACTTTGATTTTTACTAGACAAACTTCAACAAAAATAGGGGATCACATTCCGTGTAATTGACATATTCGAGTGATCCACATTGTTCCCATTCATAGTACAGTGTCACATTGGGGCCATTCGAATAAAAGTAGCAAGACGAGTTATCGCTTGTGAAACTGAATGAAGGTCTTGATACTGATGATCTATAATGATAGGGGAATCCTATGGCTCACGTCTGATTCTGTGCAACGTCATTGACAAAATACGATATGGACAGTTTTGAGGTTTTTGGAATCGAATTCAAGAAGGATAGTTGAAGAGAATTCTTTGAGAATCCATCCTAGAAGCATTTTCAGAAATCCATTCTTCTACAGGATACGTCATAATTATGATCTCAGCTTTATTCTGTGACCATCTAGTGCCACCTATATGTTGTTATTTTATATCTTTTACTTTTTTCATCTTTACTCTTGTTATTTGATAATGTTAAGATTCAAAAAAGTCTTTTTAGAGATCGTCAGGGTTTATCGGAACTCGATCATAACGTTGCATCGACAGGGCTTTTGACACGTTCAATTTTTCTCAAAAATTCAAAAAACCAGTGCTAAACAAGCAGAATCACCAAATTTATGCCTTTTCCAACCTACAAAGATCAATATCACGCGTTCTTCATCTAGCTTCTGTCATGGTGTGGGCAGGGATCACCCGATGGAAAGACTCCACTTGTCTTCGTGCTATCAGGAGTCAAGGTCAACAGTCAAGCATTTTGCGGCAAGACATATTTCCCTGAGCTTAATCTCATTTTGAACAACGTAGCTGGGTATTTCAGCAAGATAGAGCCAGCTCACAAGCCTCGAATGGTCCAGGATTGGTGTGGGCAGAACCTACCCGACTTCATCTCATTCAACGAGTGACTTCCAAGCTCACCGGATCTTAATCCGCTTGATTCTTCAGTCTGGTCAATCTTAGAAGCTAAGACGTCGGATAGTTGACTCGTTAAAGAAAGCGCTCCTTAAAGCATGGGACGAGCTTGATGTTGCCTACTTTCGTGCCACAGTTGTCGCCTTCCGCCCACGTTTTGAAGCATACGTCGCCGCTGACGGAGGAATTTTTGAAATTTGAGTTTTTGTTATCTAAGTGTCTTTTGATTTGATTTTTGATTAGTACCGACTGATTTATCTGAGCCCATGATTATGACGTTCCCTGTACTTTAAACTTAGCTTACGGTTATAAATGAAAAGGAGTATTTCGTGCTTTTGCCATTAATGAATCTCGGTGTTGTGATGAGTCCAGTCTGTTTAGTCGAGTTCATCGTATATTTCACTCCAGATAGATCTATAAAGCTTATCATTTGTAAATAAACTGAAGAAACCTTGTTTTGCGCACTGAACTGCAACATAGAGAGAATCTCCTGGCTCTTGGGTGAAAGTGGTAAATTCGTCAAAAACAAACGTTGGGAGAATGTCTTTTGTTAGACTTTTGTTGCATGATGAGGGACCACTGGAAAGATTTATATCAAGCCTTCTCTTTTCTAGCTTTTAAAACTAATAGTAGTGTTCCATCAAAGTATTTCATTCAGGTAAATTCAGGTAAATCTTCCATTCACTCACCCGTAAATTCGATCTTTGTCCCTCAAAGAAATTCCTTGATAAATTGAAACACCGTTTGGACGTCCCCTAGTCAAATCAAATAGCATCCCATAAAGACCAGGATTTTCTTCGGTTTGATTTAATGCTCCTCGATAAGCAATCAATGTGTAATCTGAGCGGAGATTCCAGCTGAACTGAACAGGATGGTAGCAATCATAGGATGAATCAGGGAAGAGGACATAGAAAGAAACTAAAAACGATATGTATCTTTAACAAAATTAGTCCCTACTTGAGCCAAAAATCATCCATGGACTACCGAGGTTGGTATCTTGAAACTTGGCGATTCTTACAGATACCACTTTGGAGGAAAAAGTTGGAGTTGCTAAGCTGAAAAAGAAAAAGTTGGAGTTGGTTTTATCAAACAAAAGTTTTTGTTGTTTTTTTGGGCTCAAAACAACAATTGCCAATGGGAAAAGTTTAAGAGCCAGCCGTGTTTTAATTATCAATTAAGCACATTGCCACTCAAACCTTAGTTGTACATGTTTCCCATCGTTGAATTCTCCCTCATAGAAATCCCAGAGATAACTTTCCGCCCGCCTCTCGTAATAATCGGAAAATTGAATGACTTTCCTGAATACTTAATCATTATTCACTTCCAGTATATCTTTTACTCTGGACAGCTAGTAATACTCAATCGATAGACTACAGCATCGAAGGGTTTCTTTAGCATTTTCCCGTGTACATGAGCGAAAGTGTCGGCGCACAGGTCGACATTGACATATTGCAGTGACACTAAGAGCAAGATTTTACATTGAGCTCAACAATTCGAGACTTACAATCAATAGCCCTCATTGATACATTGTATCCATATCGATCTGTTATATAATTTGGGATTTGAGGAGAGTAGGTGGCGTTCAAAAAGACTCGAACAAAATCCCCGGATATCCATGATGGGTAATACTTCCTGTTGAAAAGATTGGTTGCGTAATTTATTGTTAGACTTCACCAAGCACCAAATACATCATAGACTTCAAAAAGCTGACCACTCAATGGCAGCATACCATGTTGGGTATTCACATTGACAATTGTAGTTCGAGGGTATGATCTGAAACAGATATAGTATTAGGTTGACGAAAAAATAATGCGCGTTTCCAATTTCGCAGCTCAAACTCAACAATCACGACTCGAGAGCTTGCAGAAATGTTTGATGCTGATCAGAAGACGATCGACAACCATTTGCATCAACTCGGGAAAAAATTCGTATGTAAAATGGGTCCTGCACCTCTGACTCAAGACAACAAACAACTGGTATTAACGTCAGTTCTTTTTTGCTTCAGAAATGCAGAGCTAGTGGTTTTCGGGATTCGATTTTGGCATCTGATGAAACTTGGATTAATTACGAGAATGTAAAAAGTAAGAACCAATGGCTATCTACCGGAAAAACCCCGTCAAACCACACAAACCTGATATTCACGGAAAGAAAATCATGCTCTGTTGCCGGTGGAAATGGAAAGAAATGCTCTGTTGCTGGAATAATGGAAAGAAAAGTTTGCTGCACTATGAGTTAGGGAATCTAGGAGGAAACACTGCTGCTGATCTCGATTCAAAATAATTGACTAGAGTTAACGGTGCTTCAAAGAAATTGGGTTTCAATCCATCAAAGATTCTTTGCACGACAATGCGAAACCCTACACTGCAAAAATGGACAAACTTGACGAATTGACAAAGATCACAAGAACTTGACAAGCTAAGCTGGAATTTGTTTTCTCAGTGATGCTGACAGCTCGGGATGATGGCTATAAGTGTAAGCCTTTTGTTTTGTTAAATCGAGTGAGACCCGATCCGGCGATTATCGCAAAATTTCAAGGTAAGCTGGAATTGAACTGGGGTGGTTCTATTTTGATAAGCGAGACATCGATCAAGGCCTACCTTCAGAAGATTATTGGAGCTCCGTTGTTTGGAAACCGATTGCTTGTGTGGGACAATTTCTCGGCGCACAAACGTGAGGCGACAAAGAAAAAGCTAAAGAAACTGCGGCTTGATTCGATTCTTGTACCTGGAGGATGTACCAAATACCTCCAAGCGCCAGATGTCGCCTGGAAAGCTCCCTTCAAAGCAAATATTAGAGCACAATATGAACAATGGATGGTCAACGGATCAAGGCCTCTCACAAAAGGAGGGAATCCCGCTCCACCACCGATGGAAATTTACTTGACATGGGTTTGGAACGCTTGGAATGAGCTGCCGAAGCATTTGATCGTTCACTCCTTCAAGATTTGTGGAATTACTACAACCACTGACGGATCAGAAGACCACCTTTTCTACTGCTTCAAAAAAAATGGTTCGATTCCGGAGGGACGCTGCTTTAAAGGAATTGGCGCTCAATCCATCAAAGATTCGATTTTTAGACGACAACGCGAAACCACCCACCGGAGAAATTGACGAAACTGACGAATTGACAAATATCACAAAAAAATTAACGAGCTATGCTGGAATTTGCTTCTTCATGCGCTTTATTCTCCTGACTTAGCCTCGTCAGATTACTTTTTTTTCGGTCGTTGATACAGTTTATCATGGTAGAAAAGTTCGATGACCATGCTCAAGTCAAAAAAGCGGTCGACAACTATTTTGGCTCTAAAAATCCCCAATTTTTCACAAATAGAATCAAGGACTTGCGTCGAAGGTGGGAAGAAGTCATTGATAAAAATGGAAAATACCTTACTGATTGATAGTTGCTATTTCTTGTAGAATGCAATAAATTGTTACACCCAAAAAGAAAGCGCATTATTTTTTTCCTCAACCAAAATAGTTGAACTAAACGGTGAATAGTGGTAAATAGGGCTAAATGATAAGTGAAATTCTAAAAGAGCTGCGTTTGAAACGAAAATTCTCTAATCATACATCGTAGTGTCACAAAGACTTGGCAGACAATATGGGAAATCGCGATTGTAACCAAAAATCACATCCACTCCGTCACCACCTTTCAATTGTCCTGATGGTGGACAAGTGCAATCTGAAAACTTATTTAAGGCTTTCATAGCCAAGAGTTCAATAATAACAAACCAATGGCTTTAGCTGCTCCACTCATGTAGGTGAATTGTTCAGTCGAATCACTCGCAAAACTCAACTGCACATCGTTGCCTTGTCCGAAGAGTAACATTGAACCAACTCCACTGTATGTTTGAGGCTTTAAATGGAGTTGCTTTCTCTAGGCAAACAATTGCAAACAAACTGGATATTCTGTGCCTTTGACAGAGATTTTGTCACAACATTTCTCTGTCGCAAAATTGGGGAATTTGAGCATCAATTGGTGATTTGGTGGCACTTTCTCAAAGGACCAAGCACATTTTGTATTAGGGAGATATCCATATTCGGTAGGCATTGAAGAGAAATTGACTGGTTGTTCGGAAGACATATCGTGAGAACCGGGATTTAAGCATTGGTCATAAGTGGGACTTTCTGAAAAGTTTTGATTTTGATTCTCATATAGTAAATGCTGTAATTGAAGCCGTAAATGCTACATTTCATAGAGCGGCTTCATTTACAGTATTTACGGTAGTCAAGTATTGCTTACCATTATAGGATGAGAACACAACATAATAGTAATATTGGGAAACAGCTGTAAAGGCATAAGAAATATTCAGCGAATTTCGGAAATAGTATGGCTTTTCTTGAATGTTTCCACTAAATATGGATCGTATCGGATTTCGATTGAAAACTCACGAAAGTGTGCTCGTTTTTATATCATTTCCATCAGCGGGAATTCCCGTCAATTCAAGTGTTTCGGTCGGTTCCGAATGGAACATATGAATAACTGCTCGAATATTCGTCGATTTACTAGCTATGATTTTCGTTTGACAATTCACATCGTACATGGGTTTTCGATCAGTGAGATCTGTAAGGGAAAATTGGACCAAATAGGAACCAAATTTAGAGAGATAAGGAAATTTTATTTCCTATTTAGTTCTTTGTAGTTCCTATTTGGTTCCTATTTAGTTCCGATTTTTTTGTTCGACTAGACTAGACTTTCGTTTAAGGAAAACTCACGATTCGATGCCAATGCATAGAATCCTCCACTTATCGTATCGAGATCAATCTCTTGCTCTCGTTGGCAATTATTGAAGAGTTGATTCGTTTTGTCTGTGAAACACTTAATCGTATCAGTCTTGAAGATCTTTCAAACCAATTCTCGTAACTTTTCCAAGAATTCCCGGATAAGCAATCGAAATACTTTCAGGCCAGAAGTAGATATACAAAACATCTCAAATTATTTAATCAATAAAAGAATGTTAAAGGTGTACCGGTGTCCAAGATTATATTGATTGGATTTCCATCATCAATTGGAGTCCCGAAGTTCGCATGATCGTCTTCAGCACTGAAAATATCATATTTGAATAACTTAAAGTTAAATATGGTTAAATATGTTTTCTCGCTTACGTGTAATAACAATCTGAGTAGTCGTCATCTTTACAAAAGAGGAGATAATCATCATCTTCGGTCACAAAACGAAAATAGTCAATCCCGAAACCGTATTTAGGATCAACGCTCAGTGAGAGAAGTTTCCTGAAAAGTGATTTCTATAATAAAAACTAATATAAGCCAATTATCGTATTTTCTCTAATAATAGTGCACCCCGGCGAGCCGAGTTGGTGACTGTTTTACGGTTTCCAAGCTTTTGCAGAAGCTCAGCACTCAAATCCCCCACAAGATCTCATCGTCAGCTACATTTTCCGACCCCACATCAATAGGTTCTGATAAGCGGTTCTCGAGATTTCGAGCAATTTAGGCGACACTCTATACGGTATAAGCCAATTAGTTTGTTGCACTAAAACTGAAATTTTTACTAAAATATAGACCTAGATTTAAGCCTAAATTTAAGTTTATATAAGCCTAAGTCTTGCTTTTTCCACGTTTTCTAGGGTAATCGATGACGCTGATCACGAATTTGATGTTTGATTTGATGATTTATTTTGAAATTGGATGTAAATGTCTGTTTAAATTCACCCTTCGAGTTATTGAAAATTTCATGTTTTGAAATGCAAATTTAACATTTAAATGCCTGTTTAGGCTTTTTTAATATTTTTTTAGCTATTAGCCACTCAAATTCTTAAACTAATTGTAAGTAAGCATTTAGTTGATTCTTATTTCTTATTCTTCCACTAAGTACGTGGAGGTTGCTAACTAGCTCAGCACATTGTCCTGAAGCCAATGCTCGAAGTCTTTGAAGTAGTTTGGCAATAAGTTCTAGAAAAGTCAGCACTTGCAAGTTATTTATCGTATTTCCAGCCATAGTTGTTCCTGCGGAAGATAAATAAGGGAAATTTTCTGCTTTTTTGAAATACCTATGTAGATTTTGGGCTAAGTGGGCGGAGCTTGGCATCCTGCAGACTCATTTGCATTCAAAATGTGCGTTTTAGATTTAGAAATATGAAATTTGTTCGAACACGCGTTTTAAACATCAAATTCGTGATCAGCGTCATCGATTACCCTCATCGATTTTTCATCGAAAAAAGCAAAAATTTAGGTACTTTATTTCTAGGCTCATCGAGAACCTAGAAATCTTTCTGCTTCACTTCAAATTCCCCAGAATTCCTCTAGTTACAAATTGCCAGATCTACAGCTAACATAGGTCGTCCAAAACGGCAGCCAAGCCCGAAATGGCTTCGTGAATGTGTTAAACTAACGCTTACACGGGTGTGGATACATTGATATAAGGAGATGGATAAGTTGGTGTTTGGAAAGCAATCGGTTCCTCGCCCAATGTACAAATCTAAACACTTTTTGTTCTAGTTATCCATTGTTAAATTGTCAATTTTTAAAAAGCTATGATATTTCATATTTCTGATCTTAAATCTTTCATTTGATCTTAAAATTTATTATGAAACTCTCCTTCTGTCTATTTTTCAGATAGTTCTACCAAATTAGAGTAAGACCATTCAAAATGAGGACCTCATGGATACAATCCTGAGCTGTAACTAGTCGATTTGTTGCGAAGAAATTTAGCAGAAGCAAAGATGCGAGTAGAAAAATGATATTCGGGAACGGCATTTCATAGATCTGCTCGAATTGTTATCTTTGGGTCAAAAATCAGTCTTCTTATAGGGTAGCCTTCTCATCAAAAAGTCTCTAGTCTTATCATTGCTTTTGCCTCTAGAGATTATTCCTCTAAACGTTTTCGCTGGAAAAACAATTGTGATTCAGCAGAAAGACCAAAAAATAGCCTGATTGCATTTTAAAGTTCAAAAACCTCAAATTGTTGAACAGAAAAATTGTACCCGGGGTTTTCGGGGTTGGGGAATCGATTGACAGTGTTAGTTTTCTTGTTTTTCTTGCACAAAATCAATCTAGAATCAATGATTTCAATACACTTCCCATCGAAGGATGGTACTATATTTGCTTTATTACAATCTTACCTTTTTCTCAAAATGCACTGAAATTGAGAATGATCTCTATTTCACCAACTTTACCAATCTATAAGTTCAGTTTATCCGCAAAAAGGCGGTTTTAAACTTTTGAAGCCTTTTTGTACGAGACAACGAGCAATTACGAGGCCGCACAAAGAGCTCTCGGCTTGGCCTAGCTAGGGCAAATGACTTGTCCAGAAAGTCTTTACGCTCCTTTTTCGTTACTAGAGAAACCAAGTACAAATGTTAGGCTGTCCAGAAAGTCTTATTTTGGGTTTTCTCTGACCTAGAATAAGACAAAAAGAAATCCTCTGAAAGACAAAAACTTTTTTTGCAGTTTTTTGAAAAACTAAAGCTTTTTCAAACACTTAAAAGGTGAAAGCTTTCAATTTTTTCAAAGTTTTCAAATTTTTCCAAAAAATCTTTCCCTTTTTCGTTCAGCCCTTCGCCACTTCCTGTTTCCAGGAAGTGCCCAGAGTGCACCACGAGGAGGTGGCTGAACTTCGCACTCCGCCACCCTGTAGTCCGAAGACTCTTGGGATCCGAGGTCCACGTCTGGTCCTTGGCGATGGCACCAGCAGCAAGAATGCTCAGCTTGCTAAGGTGCGCGCAGCGTAAGTAGGAGAATGCTCCGAAGTTACACTTTGTTGATACTAAAAGGGATTGATCTGATCCCCAGTCGGTTTAAGAACCTCACGGTTCCTCCAATGGGGTGTCCAAACTTCCGCCATCTAGACGACTGTCGAGTAGCGGACAGCTGACGGAAGCCGGAGCCCAAAGGGAGCATAATTGTAATCCGGTTACGAGCAGCAGACCATTCTGCCTCCCTCCACGGGTGGCAGTGCGGAATGGTAGCGATTCCACGAACTTCAGCGGTATCCCTCACGGGAGACTGTGGGTCATTCCACAACATCCTTTCGGTCAAGCTTTCGGTTTTATGCTGCTCGGGGCTATTCGTACAATCGACCCGGGCCAGCCCATGGCTCCGGGCGGCGCCTTCCATCACTGGGTCAGGCATCGACCAAGCAAGAGAAGCAAGCTTCTACAAACTCTGTCTCCAAAAATCGTTTATGCTCGTGCAACCAGATGGACCAATGTGCGAGTGGACACAGAGGCGAGAGAAGAGCGAAAAGGGTCCCTATCTGTAAAGGCCCTCTGCCCGAAAGTTCGCGATTGTGCGCACGCACAAAGAGCACCAATCCCCCGGTAAGATATTTCGTTTTTGGGCCGTTACTCAGCCATACTATGAGGGATCGGGCCCATTGTGAGGTCAAAAGATGCGCCTGGAGAAACTGCGTCAAATGGGGTCGAGCTTGTTTGGCGGAAAGTAAGTTTGAGTGGGTAAAAATGTGATTGAAACCTTTTGACTGTGGTCTTAATTTCAGTTATCGTGCAAATTTGGGGATTGCCTTCTCAAATCTTCATGGAAGAGACTAATTCTTTTAGAAATTACATAATTAATGAAATTTCATAATTTCCGATGGAAAACAAACCTCATTTGCCGTCGAAATTCGCGACAAAATATGAAATCACACCAAAAAGAGGTAGCATTTCACGCAAATAAGCGATTAGCGGGGTTTGTTTGCTATTCAAGGGTATGAAACTTCGTTAAATTTGACACAGCAACCGAAACTTTGCGTCTGATAATAGTAGTTTCATGTTTTCTCGTAACTTGAGAATGCTGACGTGCAGCAATGCTCAGGTGTGAGCAGAGTATTTCCACGCAAGGATTCGAACAAGAGAAAAGGGGTAAGTCCATCCGGAGAGTATATCCATCTCTTCTCAGCTAGTTCTCTTTTCTTCTCTCTTTATGGATCCGATTATTCGATACTCTCACCCAACAAGTGCTCCTTTCAAAAGAAGGACGAAGCTTTGTATTGTTGTGGGATTTCTCGTCAAAAAGGCCGATGTCGCGATGGATCCGATGACCAAAACCTGCTTTCATTCGAAGTCGTTTTGAGTTCTTTCCCTGACTCTGTCTTTCCCTGAGCAAGACATTCCCGAAAAAGAAGGCCGTTTTTGGATATTAGTCTCCATATATATCGTTTTTTTATTCATTTTTTCATTTTTATTCATTTTTCTTCGTTGTTGTACATTTTGTAGTAAAGTTTGCTCAAATTATTTGATGTTTTGGCTGTTTCGCATGAAATTCCCACGGGTTTTCAATTGCAAAGGATATAAACAAGAAGCAGTACGAGAAATACAATTGTTACATTGTTAATTGTGTATCTGTAATTGTTACATTCTTCTTATTCTATGTAAAATTGAACTTTGAAGTCTTTAGAATTTAAATTTTAAAACTCTTAATGATCGAATACCAGAATTGAAGTACATTTTTTTGTTTAAACTTGTGCAAATCTTCCATTTATCAGTTTAAAGTTGCACAAATTCTCCATTTATCAGTTTAAAGTTGCACAAATCCTCCATATAGCAGTTTAAAGTTGCGCAAATCTTCCATTTATCGGTTTAAAGTTGCGCAAATCCTCCATTTATCAGTTTAAAGTTGCACAAATCCTCCATTTATCAGTTTAAAGTTGCGCAAATCCTCCTTTTATCACTTTAAAGTTGCGCAAATCCTCCATTTATCACTTTAAAGTTGCGCAAAATTTTAACTATAAATTCTGATAGCTATATCTTGCTAGTAGCTTTGATATTTCGCTCCAATGTTTCAAAATACGATAGCCATTCGTTCAAAGCATCCTTTTCTTGACTCACTTTTACTACTTCACTTCATTTCCACGTGTAGGCAACGAAATCAGCTCAAGTTGCAATGGTCACTCGGCATTTCCTGTCTTCAGCAGACGAGTGAATCAAAAAGGAAGAAAAGAAATGAAAAGAATAGAAGTGAAGAAGAAAAGAAAAGAGAAGATGGGGTGAAATGGGTCTCAAGGCCAATTCTTTCTTTGACAGAGGCTTTTAGAAGAGAAAAGATCGCTCTAACCATGTTTCGTCTTTCCTCTTTCAGCCATGTCTTCACTCTTTCAGCCATGTTCAAATCAGAAATCTTTGCTAGTTCAATTTCACTGGTGTTCTCTAGCTTATCTCCCTTACTACTTATTGGTCAGAGAAGTCATTCTCTGACCAATAAGTCAGGTAGATTTTGGTAGATTCAACAAGCTCAATTTGTTATGTTTTGACTGCAACGACTGATTGTTATGTTTCGTTCCAACCCAACAACTGATTGTTATGTTTTGACGACTGATTGCTTCGTTCCAACCCAATGATTGATATCTTCTAACCCTTCAACAACTGATTCTTTTGCTTTGTTCTAAACCAATTTCATAAATAAAAGGAAAGTTAGTGTTATCTCATCGATCTCGACCCAATATCTGGAAGAAAGAGGAAAAGATGACCCAAGAGACTTGCCCTCACTCCTCGGTCCATTTCCACTCCTTTCACTCATCTTTGAGCCATCTTTAAACCCGTTAAAATCCTCATTTCCTTTTCTTTGCCTTGCATTATGACCTCAGCATTGCATATATTTAATCCCTTTGAAATAAGAATGTTATTCATTTCATTCTTGGAGGGAACAACATAGAACTGACCATAGAACAACTTAATCTTGAACTTGACTATTGAACAACTTGATATTAAACTTGAGTCCAGAAAATTGTCAACACTCTAGGCTTTATTTTTGTTGGCTTTTAGTAAATAGATAGATAGATAGATTTTTGATGGATTCAGAAGGATTCCAAGCTTTCATTTTTGAACTTTAAAGATTCAGAGGACATAGAACTGTGCCTTATATCCAATCATCCAAACCAATCCTTTCTCCCTTCTCCGGTTAATTATTTCCATCAAAATATTCCCAATTTCATTCATTTTTACCATACAAGTCGTTTACTCGGGTCTCTCTGTGATTTATGGGTTTTTGGACATGCATACTCGAGCAATCTTGACCCTCTGTATCCCTTGCATATCCTTTCTTTCATTTCTTCTCTTCTCTACCCGATTTGGCCCTCCATTGGGACTAATGTCCATCTGTTTTCCGTCTTTTCTTCTTTATGCTCTCTTTTAGTTTGTTCTTGTTGCAAGTGATCTAATTTTTCATATGTTTCTAGGAATAGTGACAGATCTTTCTTTTCAAAGAAAAGAAAACATTATTCAGATCTTTTATTTGAAAAATACACAACCAACGCATCTTCATACACTAAAAATAAGAAAATCTATAACTTTTCCCAGATTCTTTTACCTAAAATAACTTT